ACACTCATCTGAGTACACAGAACTTCCTGTCTGCATTTGGGCCTCCTTGCTAACTGCAAATGGATAAACAAGAACTTTCAGTTGGTTCAAGAAAGTCACCAAGATGAGAGAGCAAAGTGTAATGAAATAGAAAATGATTTCAGAGGGCAGCAAAGGGGGACGAAGCTGGGTGGAGATCAAAGTCAAATGGGGAGCAGTGGGTCTGTGACAGACTGAATAAAGAGGCTGGGGCCACAAGAGTTGCTGACACGCACTGGGGAGGAAACAGAAAAACAAGAGCGAAGACAGTGCCAAGGGTGGTATTGATCTTGATGCCTTGGCTGCCGAAATAGAAGGAGCAATTGCTACCAAGGAACAGGAGCCTCAAAAGTCAAAAGGGGAAAAGAAAAAGGAGAGAAAAAAAATGAAGATGATATACTGAAAGAACTGCTAGAATTGTCTTTAGAGACTCAGTGCATCAAAGCTGACAAAGAAACTGCTACAGAAAAGCCATCAGAAATGAATGAAGATGAGCTCACCTTAAAGCAAGAGAATAAAAGGAAGGACAGAAAGGCAAGAAGCACAGTTCTGATGAGAATGATAATGAAGAATCTGAAGATAAAGATTCAGAATCAAAAAGACTACAAAACCACATGTGGAAACGTACTCTGGGAGTGATGATGATTTTAATAAAATTTCTAAAAAAGTTTAAGGGCGAGCTCAAAAATCAAATAAAAAGTGGGATGGGTCAGAAGAGGATGAGGATAACAGTAAAAGAACCAAAGAACATTCGGGAGCCAATTCCTCAGGTGACAGTGGTGTTGAATTACATGAATTTTTGCAGTCTAGAAAAGGACAGAAAAAAAAAAAAAAAAAAAAAAATCAAAAGAATAAGCCAGCTCCTAATGTAGAGTGTGGATGCCTGGTGTGGTGCTGTGGGTTAATGCACCAGACTGCAAAGTCATTTGGACTGCAAGGTCGGTGGTTCAAGCTCACCAGCTGCTTCTTGGAAACTCTATAGAGGGTCGCTATAGGTCAGAACCGACTTAACAACAATCTAGAGAGTGGGAATAATGAAGATTCCTCCTTCAAAGTTAAGATAGCGGCCCAAAGAAGGCAGCAAAAAAAAGAGCCTGAGAGAAAATGATTTCAGAGACAATTGAGATAATATAGGAAAATGAAGAGAACTCTAAAATAATACCCTTTAATTAAGATTCACATAGAATTTATAAGAATCTATTATGTTCATAGAAAACAACAAAATGTTTTGAAAATATGAGATAACAGCAGAGAGAGGTTTTAACAATTTTTAATTTTTTAAAGGAATTGATGGAGGGGAAAGTAAATCTCTTAGATGGTAGAACAAAGAGAGAAACAAACAGAAATATTAGAGAAGAGATGTAATATTTAGAGCAGTTTCATACGGAGAAAGAAAGTGCAAAGAAAATACAGGAAAGAAATTTATAAAACCCACCACACACTGTAGAACACGAGTCCATAAACGGATGGCACTCAGTACGCATTATGGCAAATAAAGGTAGGCCCACACCAACACTACAGCCTTCTGAGATTTCAGAATACAAGAGATAATATACTAGAAACTTCCTCAGAGAACAAAAACAGGTCACACAGAAAGGTCAGGAATCAAAGTGGAATTGGATTTCTCCACAGCAGCTTGAGATGATAGGGAAAGATAAGGGGGCAAAGTCTTCAACATTCGAAGGGAAATTATAATTCTACACCCAGCCAAACTATAAACCATGTTTGAAGACAGAAAAATGCTATTTTTAAGCATGAAAAAGTGCCTTGTGTGTACATTTTCTTAAGAAGCAATTAAAGAATCTATTCTATCTACAAATGACAGAATTGAGAAAATGGGAGAATGGGATACGGAGGATTCAACCCTCAAAAAAGGTGAAGGGACTTCCTAGGATACCAGATATATAAAGCTTTGGTTCATAGTGAAGTAGGAAGAAGGTGATGCTATGTGGGGACTGATAGACTATATGCCTTGGCAGATAAAAGGACAGGGCATGAGGAAAGAATTAAGGCAATACATATAAAACAAGGCAGGTGAAACAAAGATTTTGTCATCTGGTATCCTCCACAGGTTAAGTAGTTATCAGTGGGTGTCATGGATTGAACTGCATCCCCCAAAATATGTGTCGCCTTGGCTGGGCCGTAATTCTCACGGGTTTGACAGCTGTGTAATGATAAAGTTGGCTGTTACATAACTGTGGAAATCAGCTCCCATGATGTGATCAGTCAATCAGCTGTAAGTGGATTAGGGCAGGAGGGCAGCAGTCCAGTGCCCCTGCTGGGTGGCAGTGTCCTCAGGGACAGCTGACCCTAGGTTCCTATTTTAGGCCTCTACTCTTTGACAGCCCCTTTGAAACTACTCTGGACTCTTTAGCTGATGTTCCTTGGGGTGGAACATTGGTGTGGATTGAATTGTATTTCCCCCCCTAAAAAGTTCTACCTCCTGGTACCTCTGACTGTGATCTTATATGGAAATGGAGTCTTTGGAGATGCAATCGAATTAAGATCAGGTCATTAGGGTGAGCCCTAATCCAATATGACTGGCGTCCTTATGGAAGAATAGAGAAGATGAAGACAATCGAGAATACCATGTGATGGCAAAGTAGAGACTTAAGTGATGTCTCTTCAGGGCCAATAAATGCCTAGGATTCCGCACTGGAAGCTGGGCCTTCGCGTGTGGAGCTGTTATGACGGCTGAGTTAGTGTTGTTGCCCACACTCCAGTTCAAACCGGTATTTCTGCCTCTGCCTGTAATCTTACGGGCTGCCAGTACGCCACTGTCTAGGTTTGCTAGGAAGGACCCCAAGAGAAGTTAGCACAGACATGATCTTTGTGTGGCCCACTGGATATGCCCCCAGAGGTTTCCATAGTGTTAGCATTTAGTCAGGAAAAACTATGTAAATAATGACCTTATTTAAAAAAAAAAAATCATATTAAAAATTTTTTTTTAATGACTAGATATAGGTGACACTAAAACCTTTCATGATGTGAAGCAACTCTCCCAGCATATCTTCTCAAATCCTGGAGACTGATGAATCACCAAATGGGAAATACTGTTTCATCCAAAAGATTACCACCTGCACCCTCTCTGGCCAAGGGTTCTCTTTGGGGGGCCACGATATACTATATCCTACCAACTTATACTCACAGCCTTTCACTGCGGGGACCACTCCCTGGCAGCAGACCCTTCTTCCTCAGTTTCCTGTCTGGGAAGTGTGGATGAGAGTTGAGGGGTTTAATGAGTGAACCCTTGGGAAGCGCCTACACAGAGCCTGTACCCATGAAGCATCATGGGTGCTGTGTTCTGAAAGTTCTAAGGATCTATCTTCTTCTCATTAATTAATTTGTCTTTGCGTATTGTTGTTGTTAAGTGTCATCATCGAGTCTGTTCTGAGTTATCTGTATAGGGTTTCCAAGGAGTAACTGGTGAACCGCTGACCCTGTGGTTCTCAGTCCAGTGCTGAATCTACAGTACCATACCAGGCTGCCACATGTATTCAGTGGTAACTAGGAAAGGCCCTGAGTTTACAGAGGGCTCCCGGGTGGCCAGTCACAGTCATGGTAGCCTGGAGATCCCATTTGTCCACACCCTGAGGGGCTGGATCCGGGAGCCCCATTGGAGGAGAGGGTTACTCCTAGGAAAATTTGGAGGTGGAGCCAGCCAGTACTGGGAGCTCTCTTAGTGGGCCTTAAGGTTTTATGTACAGGAAAGCAGGGTTTCCAGACAATCTTTATGTACTATAAGCCTCAAACATTCTTTTAGCAAAAATCATGGTTTGAAAGGCTTCATGTCTTCCCAAGAGCACCCATAAAATATACAAAATTCTTACAAAGGAGACTCTGGGTTTTCTTTCAGGAAAGAGACACCTGAGACCAGCTTCTGAGGCAGGTTAGTGGCTATCCTGGGCTGGTGGCCCCAGGCCTATGGCCACTGCTGAAGCCTCTGTTTGTGCCTTCAATGACAAGAGAGGGCTTTCTTTGTTCATGGTGGGAAAGCTTGGAGACCTGGGTTCTAGAGCCTGGCCTGGCTCTAACTTGCTGGGATTTAATGTGAGGGTGAGGGGAGAAAAAAGGGAGACACAATCATTGACTGAAAGCTTCCAACATGCAGTGATTAAACATGGGGAGCCCTGCTTTTGAATCCCACAATCCCCTAGGGAAGGCCTGTGGCTCTGGCTCACAAGGAGTGCATGATGCAGACCTAGGTAGTGTCTATGTTCTGTCCCACAGACCCAGGGCCCCATCTTCCCCAGGCCCAGGTCCAGCTCCGGGACTACCTGGCACTGTAGCTTTCAGACCTTTGGCTGTGTGATGAGCCCCCTGCGCCATCCCTGCAGTGGCTCTGTTGGGCCACCCAGCACGACACCCCCCTTTCCTGACTAGAACTGTGGAGATTAGCAGAGTTCCAACTACAGTTTTCAGAATAGTACTTACAAAATCTTCAACCTCGATTTTAAGAGGTCTCTCGAAACCCATCAGCATTTGGTGGCAGAGGGGCGGGGACACACATACTAGTAAGCTACTAGCCTCAAGAAACTTGTGCTGACAAAATGAGGCAGAACTCTCCGGATGGGCACCTGGTACCCAGAGGCTCTGCTTTGGGAATGGGTTCTTGGGTTCTCTCCATACGGTTGTCCTCTCCTTCCCCCTCACAGAGGTGGGTCTTTTAATTTACAACCTCCCGGAACAAATGGCAGCTCTGGCCCTGCCTGTCTCTTCTAGGACTAACTTCCCCCATGGGGCTGTCTCTCAGACTCACCCAGGCCCACGTAGTCCCTACCGTCCCTCAGACTGTAAGCGCCTGGGTATCTTCCACGTACAGTACTTGGGGGGCCCCACAGCTCACACTCATCATCTAAGTGCTGGCAGCATTACGATACCCCACATCTCAGCCTCCCCTGGCTTCCTTGCCCGACTGGAGTTCTTCCAATGGTGCTGCCTCACCGTGCCCCCCCTCCCCCCGCACTTGGTGCCCGGCGTACCTTGTTCTCTTTGTTGATCTCTCTGCTCCATGGACACCAGGGCAGAGAAGTGGGCTTGATCATAGGCTAGAACCAGGGGAGAGCAGTGGCACCTGTTGGGAGGAACCTCCAAGGGCAAGTAGACCCCTCCAAATGGGATCGGGGCGAAAGCTGAGGGCACAAACAAGGACAAGGTGTGTAGGAGTAGGAGGGTCGAAACCAGGAGGAACAGCCACTTCAACCCTCAGCACCCCCTGAAGGTGGCAGCCAAACCCCTCAACCCTCACCCCATGTGGAAAGGAGGGCCAGAACCAGGAGGAACAGCCACTTCAACCCTCAGCGCCCCCTGAAGGTGGCAGCCAAACCCCTCAACCCTCACCCCATGTGGAAAGGAGGGCCAGAACCAGGAGGAACAGCCACTTCAACCCTCAGTCGTCCCCCCCCCCCCCCCCCGCCGAAGGTGGCAGCCAAACCCCTCCACCCCCACCTCACGTGGAAAGTCACCTCTCCTGTGGCATTTTGTGTTCACACAGGAGTTCATTAAATGACCACCACAGTGAGAGCTAGGTGTTATTTGCCTGCAGACAGATGGGGATGCTTAGACTCAAAGGGGCCAGGCCTACTGACCCCAAGTTCTGTGTGTGCCTGGGGACCATGAGCTCATCTGCTTCCTTGAGCAGAGTTCCCTTGCACAATGTACACTGGGGACAAGCAGGTAGGGCTGAGGAGTGCCCACTGTGACTGACTCACAGCCCAGCATGCCCAGGGTTGTAGACTAAAGGGTGTCCAAATATGTACTTAAGTCCTGGTCCCTGTACTTGTGGCTGTAATCCAGTTTAGAAAGCAGATTTTCTTTTGTTATGTTCATAAGACCACTAACAGTATAGCATGGGTCCCAAATCTAATCACTCCTGAGATATAAAAACAGTAGGATCGATTCAGAGACAGACAAAGGAAAACTACCACATGAAGGCAAAGGCATCTACAAGTCTAGGAATGCCAAAGATTGTCACAGTTCCTAGAAGCGAAGATCAACAAAGAAGCATCCAGACTTCTAGTCTCCTGATGACCACATTTCGATGTTTTAAATATACTTGAGGTATTTCTGTTATAGCCACACTTGGAAACTTCACGAGATCTACCCAGGTGACCAGAAGACTCAGAGGCCAAAGATCATCTGGATGTGCCGATGTCTGCCTGGAAACACATTCTAAATTTCCTCCTTCCTCACTGGTACTTTTAAGTATTTACACATCTATGCTTCCTGAGAAGTTCTTTGCTCAGAATCTCAGAGCCTCTCCTCTGGATTCTGAAGGAACTAATCAGAGAATATTAGCTGCTAAGTTCGAGACCAGCGGGGAGGCGAGAAATTGGGGATCAATCCTTTACTGGCAGGGATACCTTGTCATTTGTTTCCCTAAAGCAACACCTGTTTTTCAATCACAAAGAACCCTCCTTTGGCCTGAGAGTCTGTAAATTGCTTCTTTTGCCCAAAGGGAGCCAAGTGAGTATCCAACCAGTTCCAGTGACAAATTTGATCTATTATTACAGTTTCTCCTTGCCCTCCCTTTGTCTAAACTAGTTAGTATCATTCTCTCCACAAGAGAACCCTATTAGAGGGAGGGGACCCCTGTGAAAGACTACACTCTTGCCCCTGGCTGAGATGGGAGAATGGGTGGACTCTCAGACCATACTGGGCTCCCAGGGAGCAGTGAGACTGACAGCAGAAGGTGGTATTGGGTTGGACAGCCACAGTCCAGCTCCTTCCCTACCTGATCATCATGCTAGCTAAGAATCTCTGGTAGTTGTGGATTGAACGTGGTAGTTAGGATACATTTTACAAGTATTCTAACTTGTAAAATGGCCTAGGAGGACCCAGCTTCTGTGATGGCACAGGTTTAAAGTTGGTCCAGTGGTGATTATGGGCTGGCACGAGTCCCTCTTCACTCCACGTCTGTCATTCACTGCCATGACCTCCTTGTTAATGATATCCTCTCAGGACCAAAGAGAAGACACGGCACCAGAGAAAACAGTGGCTGGTGTTGGTGACAGAAATGAACAATGATAAAACCTATGTGAGGGGTGTTGGGGAAGAGAGATAGGCGATCTTGGAAATTTCACTCATTGTACAAGAGGCCCTGTCCTTGTGGTCTACCTCTTCTGGCCACTTCCCTTTTATTCTCCTGTTCTGAGAGGTGCTGACCCTACAAGTTCCTCCTCCCTCCGGGACTCGGGGGCCACAAGCTGGAGTTGACCAGGTGCTGGCGGGGACACCCCTGTGCTGGGATTGAAATGGGTCCTCAAGGAAATCAGCTGTGTGTCTTGGGGGCACTCCTTAGTCTCCCTAGGCTGGACGAGCACATTTCACTCTCAGAGCTGGAGATGAGGATGGACAAAGAAGATGCATGAAAGGACCGCCACACGCAGTGCCGGGCATGCAGGGCCTTGGGTGAACACCCCTACTGTCCTGGCCTCCTCCTCTCTTTCTACCACAACCTTGCCAAGTGACCTCATGCTTTTTGTCTTCTACAATACTCTTTAAAACATGCACAGCCTGCAGAAGGGGTGGGATGGGGAGTGGAGTAGTAAGCAGTGCTGGGCTGAGCACTAGTGCCCATCAGAGAAGGGGCTATTGACCTGCCGGCCATATGTGGACACATGGATGTGAGTATGGGAGTGAGGTCTGGGTTTATACCCGACCAGCACAGCCAGATTTCTCTTGGTCACTCATGGTTAATTTATATGTCAACTTGGCTAGCTATGGTTCCTAGTGGTTTGGCCAAACACCAGTCTACTTGTAATCGAATATAACTTTCATAATGCAATCTAATGTAATAAAATCAGCCATAAGTTGAAAAGTAAGTTTCTCCAGGTATGTTCCACCCCCAGACTATAGATACTTGGGCAGAACTCTCATTTCACTTGACAGTCTTTCCCATGCCTAACCTAGAGATCTTGGCCTTGCCAGCTTCCTTCTCTTCTCCTCACCCCCAACAGTGATGTGAGCCAATTCCTTGAAGTAAATCTCTATGTATGTGTTTCCTGATGCTGTTGTTTAGAGAACCCTAACTAAGCAAGTGGGTGCTTGTGTCATTAGGAAAGAAAAAGAAACACATCACACAGAGAAGAAATGATGACAAACAACATGACCCTTGTCCTTGCAGAGTAATGCACTGGGATTTTTGGGGGATTTTAATCCTTAAATTATGCTCTCTCTTTCATGGGAATGCTAAGCTTTTTGGGTCATGAATAACACACATTTCTTTGAGGAACTTACCTTCTCCTCCTGAATCTCTTAGCATTGTGTCTGCTACGACAACAATCGGTCTTCTTAATATATGGGCCAGAACGAAAACGTGGAATTCTTCTAGACTTTCGTAGACAGGGTCTTCTGAATTGTCCATGCTAGGAAAAAAAGAAAAGCAAGCCTGTTACTAGATTATATAAGATTGGAAGATGGAGAAAGGAGAGAATCTTCCATGCAGCATCTGAGACCTTTCTTTTGGCACCTCAGCTTGCCCCTTGCAGGCACTGCTGAGGCTACTCCCATGCCATCCACTGACTGGCAAATGCACGCCTCCCAGCTCCCCACCCTCCACCCAGGACTGACTATTCCAGGAGACATGAACTCGAAGGTGATGGTTTCTGGCCATCTCTTAGATGAGGTCTTTCAGGCGGCAGAGAGCCTACCAGACTGGTGGTAATATGGTAGCTGGTGTGTGTGGAGGGGGGATGCTGGCAAGGAAGGATGGAGGTCTACTTGTCAGTTCACTTCATATGCACTTGGAGTTAGAGCCTCCTCCATCAGAGACTAGATACACCAGAGTACAGCAGCTGGTGGGGCAGGGTCCATTCCTAGGAAGCTCTGAGGAGCTTTTGAAAATATTCTACCCTATAGGAGAGGGCATGGACTGAGAAGGCTCAAGACTCAGAATAAAGCGGGAGGGATCAAGGCCACACGAGTTCTCCTAGCCCAGGGCCCACTCATATCTATGGCTCAGCAAGCACGAGCTCCAGCACTGCTGTTAGGGAAAACGCTAAGACATCTGGGAAGAATGTCCTCCTTAAAAACAGGAAAGGGTGCTTTGAGAGTGCCCGAGCGCACAGCTGGATCTGTGGGGTCAGACCAGGTGGCAGTGCTCAGGTAAGACCCCTGCTGGCACTTCAGCTGGTTCAGGAGTGCCCCGTGAATCTTCAGAATGAAGTGAAGGAAGTCTGTTGGGACTGGAACAGGTAGGACCAGAGCAAGCAGAGTGTGGTCCTGTTTGAGGGTGCAGTTGGTGTGATCTGGGGTAACAGTGCTCTGCATATACAGCTGCCAGACAACTGCTTACAATGCTTCTAGAACCAAGGGTGCAACTTAGAAGTGCATCATGATCATGTTGCTGTTGTTAGAGTATCTACCTATTTTTCCTTTATTCCTTTTTGGTGACCCAATTTATCTTATTATAATTTTGAAATTGGGCAGGGATTAAAAACTCACACAAAAAAGTTCCACATATGATATAAAAAGCTTCCATTCTCCTGAACTGTGTTCGTTTTCTAGAGCTGCCATACAAAATGTTGTTAAGTTGTTGTTAAGTGCTGTCGAGTTTGTTCTGACTCATAGCGATCCTGTATAGGATTTCCAAGGAGCAGCTGGTGAGCTTGAACGGCTGACCCTGAGGTTCAAACTGACCTTACAGTCCAGTACATGAACCCGCAGCACCACTTTAAAACAACAGGAATTGCTTCTATCATAGTTCTGGAAGCTGAGAGCTTCTACCATCTGCACTGGGCTGCTTTTCCTTGCCCCCATTCTCCAGAACATGGGCACCATTGAGGTCCTCACTCACCACATCTCTTTTGAGCCAAGAGGGGAGCCAGATAGCCTCTTCCTAGGCCCCCCTCCACCACTGTCTTCCTCAGGATGCCTTTGTGTTGGGTGAATTCTTTGTCTCTATTCCCAGGAATCCTTCCTTTCAGGTACACACTGAAGAGAAGGTAACAGGTGCCCCAGGAAGCCCATGTGTTTGGGAAAGTGCATGCTGTGAAGTTCTCAGGGTACGCCCAGTCTCTCTGTGGAGGAAGTCCGTACTAGTTTTCAGAGCAGTAAGCAATTATGAAGTGTCTTGGGGATTGTTGAGTGTCTTCCCAGAAGCCAGGGTCTGTCTAAAACCTTGGGTCAAAAATGTGCCACAGGCCTTACTTTGGCTGCTAATACAGAGTTTTTCCATCATCTCTTCCCACAGATGTAGTCAATTTGATTTCTGTGTATTCCATCTGATGAGATCCATAGGTATGTTATTGTTAAGTGCCATTGAGTCAGTACCAACTCATAGCGACCTTATGCACAGCAGAACGAAACACTGCCCGATCCTGGGCCAACCTCACTATCGTTGCTACGCTTGAGCCCATTGATGCTGCCACTTTGCCAATCCATCTTGCTCGGGGTCTTCCTCTTTTTCTCTGATCCTCCTCCCTACCAAACATGATATCCTTTTTCCAGTGACTGGTCCCTCCTGACAATATGTCCAAAGTATGAGAGACGAAGTTTGGCCATCCTGGCCTCCAAGGAGCACTCTGGCTGCACTTCTTTCAACACAGATCTAGTCATCTTTTATGTTGTTTATAAAAGGTATTTGCAATGAATATATCATTTGGTCTTACAAAATTCTGTCATGCAATCTCCAACATAATTTCTATCACCAAGGCCTTATGTTCCAACTACTGATCTGTCCTCTTTGTTTCCAGACTTTGCATCCCAACATTCAGTAATTATCAATGCATCTTGATTGCATATTTGATCAATTTCAGATGGAAGAAATTGATTGTTGTTGTTAAGTGTGGTTGAGTCAATTCTGACTCATGGTGACCCTATATAGAATTTCTATGGAGCAGCTGCTGGGTTTGAACTGCTGACCTTGTGGTCTGCAGTCCAGTGCTGATCCTACAGCACCACACCAGAAGTCCGGAGGAAATTGGTAGAATTCTTCAATTTCATCATCACTGACATTAGTGTTTGGTGTGTAAATTTGAATAACTGGTCTTCCTTGTAGGCATTTGGATTTCATCCTATCACAGACAGCATTGTGCTTCAAGATAAATCTAGGAATGTTCTTTTTGATGAGGAATATGACACCATTTCTCTTGAATTTGTCATTCCTGGCATAATAAACCATATGATTGTCAGATTCAAAATGGGCAATACTCATCCATTTCAGCTCACTAATACCTGGGATATCAATCTTTATGCATTCCATTTCATTTTTGGCAACTTACAATTTTCTTAGATTCATACTTAGTACATACCATGTTCCAATTATTCCTGGGTGTTTGCACCTGTTTCTCCTGATTTTGAGTTGTCCCCCATCAGCAAATGAAGGTCCAGAAAGCTTTACCCCATTCATGTCATCATGGTCAACTCTACTTTGAGGAGGCAGTCTTCCCCAGTCATAGTCTGAGTGCCTATTAACCTGAGGGGCTCATTTTCTGTCCCTATGTCTATCAGTTTTCCTCTGCTATTCATAATGTTTTCAGTGGCTAAATACTCAAAAATAGTCCTCCTCTCCTTCTTCCTAGACTGTCTTAGCCTGGAAGCTGATTTGAAACCTGTACCATGGGTGACCCAATGGCATTTAGAACACCTGTGCCAAAGCTTCCAACATTTGGTCACCACAGAACTACAAACTAGCAGGCGAATGTTGTTTCCTGTCCATGACTAGTTATTTATTGATAACTGATATTTTCTTATTTTATCATGTGTCCCCACCCTGAGACCTGCAAATGTGTACGTGCACACACACATGCTCACACACACACATGCATGTACACATGGACACACATGCATCCACATACTCGGACACATGGGCCCCATGCCTGAACATGTAAACACATGCATACATGTATGTACACTGTACACAAACATGCATTCACACATACTTATGCATACACACATAGGCAAGCACACACATGCTCACTCAACTTAGCACAGTGCTAGATCCGTAGTAAGTAACCAATATGTGTCCTATGATTGACCTCAAACTTGTTGAGTCCAAACAGTAAGATGTCCCCCACCATCAGATCACACTGCTCCTGCTGAGAAAGTCCTTCCCAGCCAGAGCCTCACCCTCCCGTCCAAAACCTTGGGTCAAGTGTCGTCGAGTCAGTTCTGACCCATAGTGACCCTTGTACAGGGTTTCCGAGGAGCAGCTGGTGAGCTTGAACTGTTGATCTTATGATTCAAACCGACTTTGCAGTCATAACATTAACCCACAGCGCCACAACAGAATCTATTGCCCATAGAATCCTTTAGTATCGAAAGTCAAGGCTTGAAATATTTTCTTCAGTTTCCTCAGCTTGAGAAATGCTGAGCACGTTGTTTCATTTTGGTTTTCTAACTCTAGATCTTTGCACATTTCTTTACAATTTTCTTACTTTGTCTTTTCAAGCTGCCCTTTGAAATTCTCTATTCAGTTTTTTTTTTGTTTTTTTTTTTTAACCTTTTTCATAGCATCTCTATGCTGGAGAGCAAGTTTCAGAGTCTCTGGTGACATCCATTCTGGTCTTATCCTTCTTTCTTGTTTTCTTAATGACCTTTTGCTTTCTTCCTATATGATGTTCTTGATGTCATCCCACAACTCTTCTGGTCTTTGGCCTTAACTGTCGAATGCATCTAATCTGTTTTTAAGATGATCTCTAAATTCAGGTGGGATATGTTCAAGGCCATAGTTTGGCTTTTGCAGACTTGTTTTAATTTTCTTCAGCCGGACCTTGCATATGAACAACTAATGGTCTGTTCCAGTCTGCCCTGCCCTTGTTTTGGCTGATGATAGGGAGTTTTTCCACTCTTTCCACAGATGTAGTCAATTTGATTTCTGTGCATTCCATCTGGTGAGGTCCATGTGTACAGTCGTCTTTTATATTGTTTAAAAAAGGTATTTGTATTAAGTCATTGGTCTTGCAAAATTCTATCATGCTATCTCCAGCATAATTTCTCTCACCAAGGCCTTATTTTCCAATGACTGATGCTTCCTCTTTGTTTTCAACCTTTACATTCCCATCAGCAGTGATTAGTGATTATCAATACATCTTGATTGCATGTTTGATCAATTTCAGCCTGAAGAAGTTGGTAGAATTCTTCAATTTCATCATCACTGCCTTTCATGGTTGGTGTGTAAATTTGAATAATAGTGATATTAACTGATCTTCCTTGTAGGTGTATGGATATTATCCTATCACAGACAGCATTGTATTTCAAGACAGATCTTGATATGTTCTTTTTGATAATGTGATGCCATTCCTCTTCAATTTATCATTCCTGGCATAGTAAACCATGTGACTGTCAGATTCAAAATGACCAATATCAGTCCATTTCATCTCACTAATGCCTAGGATATCAACTTTTATGCATTCCATTTCATTTT